AAGGAAGGAAGGAAGGAAGGAAGGAAGGAAGGAAGGAAGGAAGGAAGGAAGGAAGGAAGGAACGAGCGAACTTGTTCATCTACAACAACAAAACAAAAAAAAAGAGGAAGAAGTCAGAAGATGCGCTGGGCTGTGGCTCAGTGGTGGAGTGCTTGCCTAACATGTGTGATGCATTGAGTTCAAACTTCAGCACCACATATCAATCAATCAATCAATCAATAAAGGTAGCGGGCTCGGTGGCACACACCTGTAATTCCAGTGGCTCGGGAGGCTGAGGCAGGAGGATCATGTGTTCAAAGCCAGCCTCAGCAAAAGCGAGGTGCTAAACAACTCAGTGAGACCCTGTCTCTAAATACAAAATGGGGCTGGGGGTATGGCTCAGTGGCCAAGTGCTCCTGAGTTCAATTCCTGGAGAAAGAAAGAAAAAAGAAAAGAAAAGGAGAGAGAGAGAGAGAGAGAGAGAGAGAGAGAGAGAGAGAAAGGAAGAAAGAAAGGTGCTCTGTTTATTTACAACTAAAAAAAAGTCAGAAGACTTCTCACCTTGGGCCAATTTCTGGGTCTCATCTGGTCCTTTTGGGGGACGTGTCAGTAGCGTCTCCAGCACTGGCCAACACTTCTGCTACCTCATTTGGTCATGCACAGGGGGATAAACTTTTAGGTAAGTAACAAATCCTCAGGACATAAGTAAGAAGAACCCAAGTCCCACTTTTTTCCTTAGTTCTGAATCTTGCTGGCTGATATCTGAGGAAGCGCACAGGGGTCCCTGAAGCCGTGATGGAAGCTGGGTGAGAAAGGGTCCCAGGACTCTTGTAAGTAGGTGGCCTCCAGCCCCTGAGGAAGCCAGGCGTGAGTCTTACCAGGCCCTGGCCCAGTGAGGAAGCTGCTGGAGGGTCCTGCTCATCCCACGAAACCCTGAAGTCTCTGGTCAGCTAGGGACATTCAAACCTCCAAGGACGAGGGCAGGTGTCCCTCTTTCCCACTAGGGAAATCACCATCTCCATCCTCTCCCATGACTGTGGCTGCACCTCCAGGGACGCTCCTGCCACCAGGAAGACGGGGAGCAGCACAGCCACAGTGCAGCCACACCAGCTCCCACTGAGGGGGGTAAGAGGTGAGGCCATCCCCAGTCTTGATTCCCATGGAGCCACCTGACAGGGTGTGGGCACTCTCTTCTACACAAGACGCTTCACAGAAGCYAGGTGGCCTACCCTTCAGAAGCAACCCTTGAAATTCCTTCCTTTCATGGGTGCAGGATTGGGGAAGCTGAGCCCAGGCTGGGCCATCTCTCTCTCCCTTCTCTCATCTCCACTTTCCTTCCACCAAGTACCGGCGCTCCTGCATCTCATGTCTCATAAGCTTGGGGAACAGGGAAAGATGTGAAAGTCACCCCACAATTGATTATAAAAACTCTAGTCACACTTACATGTGTCAGGCTGGGGAGGTGGCTCAGTGGTAAAGCAGTTGCCTAGCCTGCATGAAGCCCTGGGTTCAATCCCCAGAACTACATAAAAAATAAATAAAACAGGGCTGGGGCTCAGTGGTAGCGCCCTTGCCAGGCATGTGTGAGGTATTGGGTTCGATTCTCAGAACAGCGAGTAAATAAAAAAAATAAATATCAACAACTAAAAATAAATTAAATAAATAAACCCAACAAAAAGATTTTAAAAATATGACTCACATGTAACAAAATCCTTTCTGCTTTGAGATTGAAAATACAGAAGGGATGATCCGACAGTGGGGCCCCAGGTGAAAACCTACCTCCATAAGTTCCCTTCAAACCAGGTGAGAGGGCCTCGTGGCTGAGGTTTTTAAACCCAGCGGCCCAGGATTCACCCCGGCCCTGGTCAGATCTCCAGTCCCGGGAGCCTGGGTTTTGTGCTTCCTGGTGATTTCCCACTTGCATTTCCTGGCCGACTACCACTGAGAGGATTCTGGATCAACCCAACAAAGCAGGTCCCTGGCTGGCACACCACCKGACTTGTGGGTAGGGGACCTAACAGAGTGGGTGGGTGCTGTCATCTCTGGCCAACCCTGCGTCTTCCTGTGTCCACTGTCTCAGGGACCGTGGAGAGATGGCAGCAGACACACCTTCCCTCCTGGAAAGGGTCATCTATTAAGTGTTTCACGCCCGAAGCCCGGGTCACCTTCACCCTGACCCACCCCAGCAGTCTCCTGGGGTCACCTKGCTTCAGGCCCTCCAAAGAGTTCACCGCAGTCTGACCAGCTTCTCAGGGTGGGAGCCCCGCCCCCCATCGCTGCGGCGTGTCCACAGCGGAGGCCGGTCTAGAGGAGCCCACAGTGAGCCCAGAGCGGGCTGGGCGTGGACCCGTTGAGCACGGGGATGGGGAGAGTGGGGTGTCTTCCAGGACGTCTCCATCAGGAATGAGTCTCTGGGCCTGGGCCGGGGTCTCCTGGCTCAGCGCCCACCCTCGGTCCGGCCCTGGCCCCCGTTCCCTGCGCCCCTCCCTCTCCCACACGGCCCGCTGGGCTCGAGTTCCCCTTCGGGTCCCCCACTCGGGCCTCCCTCCCACCGTGGCGCAGCGCCCCGTCCTCCCTCCCCAGCGCGCGGGTCCTGCGCGCCCGCGCCGCCGCCCTGCGCACCCGCGGCTCCACCTGCGGCGGCCGGGGGGGCGGGGCCGCCGGGATGACGCGGCACGCGGACGGCGCGGACCCGCCCCGCGCTCGGCGGTGCCCGGCGGCGGGGATGGAAGCCCGGCGCTGGCGCGGGCGGCGATGATGGGCGGCCATGGCCCGGGCTGGCGGCGGCGGCGGCGGCGGCGCGGCGGCCCCGGAGCGCGCGGGGGCGGCGGCGCGGCGGGCGCCCTGGGAGCTGTCCCTGGAGGAGGTGCTGAAGGTGTACGAGCAGCCCATCAACGAGGAGCAGGCGTGGGCCGTGTGCTTCCAGGCCTGCCGCGGGCTGCGGGGCGCGCCCGGCGGCCGGCGCCGCATCCGCGACACGGGGGACATCCTGCTGCACCGGGACGGCTCGGTCGGCGCGCGGCAGGAGCCGGGTGAGCGCGGCGGGCGGCGGGGGTGTGGCCCGCGGCTGCCGGCGGCTCACGGGGTGGGTCCCTGGTGAAAGGGACCGCGGCCTCCTGGGCGCCCACGGCGCCGTCCTGCTGCTGGACCCGAGTCCTCCTTCCTGACTGGCTGCTGGACCTGGAGGCCCCCTGCCCTCGGGATCCGGAACCTCCGCTGGGCCCGGCCCTGCCCTCCTGGCCTTTCCTGACCTGGGGACCCCTCATGGTCCCCTTCTCGTCCTCCCGTCTCTCCTGGCATCAAGGCCAGCTGCTCTGCGGCGGGGCACGCTGTCCTCCGCTGAGAAGGGGCTTTGGCCAGATTGCTAGTAGCTGGGGTGAAGTCGGGAAGCAGGCATTATGCCATTCTTGTTCCCGGCTCTCCCCTGGGCCACTCCTCCTGGCTTTGGGTTCTGCAGCCCTCAGTGTATGGCTCATGCAGGGCTTTGTGGRTACAAAGAGTCCTTGCCGCTCTTTAGTGACACGGAGAGGACACAGAATGTCCCCAGGCTAGCTCTTTCATGGAGGGTGGGGGAGGGGCTTGCCTCCTGGGAATCTGTGCAGAATACACACCAGTTTCCTGGGTTTAATTGAGAGGGAGCAAGGAGAGTGTAAAATCTGCTTTTTTTTTTTTTTTTTATCCAAAAGACCCAACAACTTAGCCCCTGAAATATGTTTGAGGTCTATTGAAAGTGGTGCGTTTACCTGATCATGTACTTTCCCCTTTAAGTTGTTTTCCTCCCTGGAGAGTGGAAGGTTTGTATATGGCGCATAGGATGATATTACCCCAAAGCTGAAACCCTTCTGTGAGCACAAAGGCAGGCTGTGTGCCCTGGTTGAAGCCTGGCCTCCCTCCAGTCCTCAGCTATGGCCTTGCACTTGCTCTGGAGCAGGCTTCTGTGGAAGACGGGGCAGGAGCAGGGCAAAGCCCAGCAGAGGCAGCAGACAGTGGCTGCCTTTTACAGTGGGGAGGGGCCTGCTGTGTCCCCCCAGGAGCCTGCAGCTTTCTCCCTCAGCTTCCTCTTCCTTCCAACCCTGCCTGTGACGCTTGCAAGTTGAATTTTGCACAAAAAGCATTGATACATTGATTTGATGGGTGGAAATAGTAAGCACCGACGTCATGGTATTATTCCCACTTTACTCTCAGGTCAGCTGAGGCCCAGGCCTCAGAAAGTCCAAAATCACTCAGAAAGTGGCAGAATTTGGACTCTGCACTCATGCTCTGAACCACTGTGCTGCCATGTCTTTCAAAGACTGGGCAGAGGGGCAGGTGCACAGTGACCTGCTCTCCCCTGGAGTCTGCATACTCACAGAGCTTTTCTCCTGAGGCTCTGTYCTCCTGAKAAGATGCTCCCYGGGCCTACCSCAGCCCTGGAGATAAGTGATACCCTAGGGTCTGGCTCCCAGCTCTGCAGAGCAGGACAGGACTGCAGGGAGTGTATAGTCTGGCCTCTGATTTTTAAGGATGGGAAAACCCAAGCAGAGTGGGAGTGGTGAGTTGTTGCCCACAACCATAGCAGCTGTCCCTGGGGTTTCCTGGTATCTCCCTGAACTGTGGGCAAGCCAAGCTGGGCTTCCTATTGGTTCTGTCCCAAATATCAGAGGGCCATGCTTGGGATGTGGGTCATCTGTTTCTCTCTCTCCCCCAGGATTCTATGTGCTGCTGATTCCCAGTCATGGCCCATGTGGCAGTCATCACAGATCTAGTGGCACTTCCTGACTGGGGAGTCAAAGCTTAGTACGGGCCTGTGCATTGAGGAGCCTTATCTCTGTTTGAACAGGGTCTCTGGTCTGGTTTCTGTTCATAAACATTCCTCACAATGGTGATGGCTTATGACTTCTGTCTGCCTTTATTTTATTTTTGGTACTGGGGATTGAATCCACGGACACTTAGCCACTGATCCACACCCCCAGCCCTTTTTTGTATTCTATTTTGAGGCAGAATCTCACTGAGTTGTATAGGGCCTTGCTAAGTTGCTGAAGCTGGCTTTGAACTCGCAATTCTGCTGCCTCAGCCTCCTGAGCCACTGGGATTACAGGTGTGTGCCACTGCGCCTGGCTGCCTCTCTCTTTTTTTTTTAAGTGGAAGAATGGGAAATGTGTTAGCCTGTGGAGTTATTTTCAAGAGAGGCCATTATTAAAACCTCAAGATCGGGAAAGGATTATTTTTTAAAATGGACTCAGGAAACKCCATCAGGTGAAGCTCTGTGGAGCCGTTCCGTGCACAGCACAGCCAGTGGTCAGGTGGCCTGCAGCGCTCTCAGTGGATCCACCTCCTGCCGTCCCAGGGTGGCTTGCCCCACAGGAAGGTGCTCTGCAAAGTGGGACTTGGGCCTCGGCCCCCGGAGCATCCAGCTCCGGGCCCAGCTTTCTTCCAGGAAGATGCCCAGGAGACAGTGGAGGCTGCTGCTAGGTGCCCCGGGGTGAGGGGAGCATGGCTGCCTCCTCTCCCTTTACCTCCTGCCTTGCACTCACCTCACGCTCACTTACACAGATATATTTCTATTCATTTTTATTGGCCCACTTTTCTTTTTGGTGATGGGGTTCCAACCCAGGGTCTCTTGCCTGGTAAGTCCAAACTCCACCCTGGAGCTCCATCCCCAGCTCTTGCCTTTTGATGCTCCACCTTTTCAATCAGACCCCACTCTTTATACTTGGGGTGGACTGTGGTTCTGAGCCTGGCTGTCCCCAGGGTTCTCTGGAGCAGTGTTAGGCTCCACTGCTAGTTCCTTGTTCTTGAGTGGACACAAGGCCTTCCCTTTTTATGTKGTAGCCCCAGGTTCCTAACACAAAGGCCATTAAAAGGCATTTGTCCAGGCCAGGTGCGGTGGCCCACGCCTGTAATGCCAGCGGCTCAGGAGGCTGAGGCAGGAGAATCATGGGTTCAAAGCCATCCTCAGCAAAAACGAGGTGCTAAGCCACTCAGTGAGACCCTGTCTCTAAATAAAATACAAAATAGGGCTGAGATGTGGCTCAGTGGCCGAGTGTCCCTGAATTCAATTCCCAGTACCCCGCAAAATAAAAAATAAATTTATAAAAAGACACCTGCCCAGAACTGGACCACAGTGTCCACAGGGCTGACTTGTCTTTCACTCTCTCCCCCAGCAGTGCTCAAGAGCAGGCCTCAGGGGGTCCGCTGCGCCTGGGCCACAAGTCACAGCCAGGGGTGCTGCTGCTGCATGTGTGAGCTGGCCTCTGTGCCAGCCACAGACACTTCGCTGTGTGTCTCCTGGCCCAGCGAGCTCCTGCCAGGTGCTGAAGGGGACCCTTGGATCAGGAAGCGCCCAGCTGGCTCTCTCTGCTGCTGGAGGTCCCCGAGTTCCACCGGTGGCCAGAAGAGTCTGTTGAGCTCATCTTTTCACTGTCCTCCCTGCCCAGATGTGTGCAGAKGAGCTTTGAGTGGTCTTGCCTTGGCGGGTGGCCTTGGTTATGCTGGGGAGAAGCTGGAGCTGGTCAGAAAGGTCAGATTCTGCTTCCAGAGAGAATTCCCCTTCCCAGGTCTCCTGGCTGCCAGAACATTCCTGGTGGTTCTTATAGCTGGGTCCTGGCCGGTCCTGGCCATGGCTGGAGGTGCCTGTCACAGCAGGGCCACCTGCCTGGCGATTGCAGGCGCTCTTGGAGCTGTGCTCTCTGCCCTTGAGGGCCACTTAGTCCAGTCATGGTGAAGGGTGACAGAGGCCACCCAGGAGGGTGGGAGCTTGGGAGCCAACCTTGAGAGGTGCTTGTAGGACAGGTGCTGAGGTGTTGGGGTCACTCCTCCTGGGAGAGCTATGTCCTTAAGAGCCTCTTCCACAGCCGAGAAACCCAAAGTCACAGGGAAGACAGCCACCTGAATTGACAGTTGCAGGTGTGACGATGGCCTGTGCCTTAGAGGTGTGTGACTGACCATCTTGGGGGTGCCAGTGGAGGCCTGTGCTGCTGCGCTGCACATTTCTTGGCGGTCAGTGCCTGTCCCTGAGCTCTGCTTTCTGGAAGAGGACTGCCAGACGGTCACTGCGAGGTGTGGGGGGTGAGCAAGGTGTGTTTGCAGACAGATTTCTGGAATCCATCTTCTGAGCAAGCCTCACCTKGCAGGACGATCACCTTCTGTGTGTGTGGCCTCTCTGACGCTGCCCATGCCAGGCTGGCCCTCCCATAAATCCTGGACCCGGGCGGCCCGGGTGCCTGTCCTAGCTGGTACCACCCRACCTGTGCTGTGACTTTGGAAAGGGCTCCACGTGTCCAGGAGCCTGGGGGCCCCACGTCACGCGTGAGGTTCAGCTTGCGGTCGCCTTCCAGCCGCACCCTCCACACGCTCACCAGCTGCCTGCCTGGCATCCACGGGGGTTTCTCTGCCCCCCATGGGACAGAGCTGACTCTAGTGCAGCACCAGGAATCGCGGGGCACTGGATGGTCTGGCCCTGGCAGGAGGCCTGGTTAAACCCTGTGGACAGGCTGCCAGGGTTCAACTCTGACCCTTCGGAGCCATGCAGAGGCCCGGTTAAGGGGGAGGAGAGGGGCCTGGAAGTGGTGTCTGCTCGCCGGGCAGACCGCACAGGGCGCCCGGGCAGCCGGAGGAAGCTCCCAGCCACTGTCTCGGCTTCTGTCCACTCCCAGGGAATCCCACTTTCCCCCTGGGCATCTGCCTTGGTCCTTCTCCAGGGACTGAGGGGTGAGCAGAAAGGAGAGWGTGGGCATCTGTGGCTTCAGGACAGATCTCCACGACCTTCCGGCTCAAGGTGACACCAACCCATTCTCTTCTGTCTTAAGAGGGTATAGATCCAGAACAGCCTTTTCCTTAGGTCAGCTGCCGACGTCTGCCGCCTGTGTCCCCCGGCCACGCCACGCAGAAGTCAGGGGGCCTGCAGGTGTGTACGCTCCCARTTCCACCCTCACATCTGGGTGTCATGTCGCTCTCCATTTTTTCTTCTTTTATTTTTTTCCTATTTTTAAAAATTATTTTTTGGGACAGGGTATTGCTGAATGGCCCAGGTGTGGCTGGGACTACAGGTGTGTGCTATGGCGCCTGGCCCATTCTTGATGCATTTCCAGGAAATTGTTGTATCCACATCAATCTACTTCCCCTAAATACTTCAGCTTGTGTGCTGTTACCAGAGCTTAGCGTTTGTTTGTCATTCTTTCTTTTGATGTGAAATTTACATATGATGGAACATGAACCCTGGCACACCTTCCTCGATAAGTCTCTGCACCCCACCCTCTGCTGTCAGGGCCCCACTACGCCTGTTGAACAGTCAGAACCACCCTGTGCTGGTCCCTCCCACGGATTCCACTTCAGTGGATCTTTGCGGGGCCCAGGAATGTTCCAAGTGGTTCTAGAATCCACATTCCACCCGAGGTTCTCGAATCCCCTGACTTGGGTCTCCTCTCAGATCCTTGCCCAGTGGACTGAGGGGAGCCCCTGGGGAGCGTGTGGAGAATCGTGGGGATCTCAGCCCAAGGACTGGCAGAAGTGACCAGGAGGAGGGACACACCCGTATCCCTTTGACCCAAAGAGCTCTGTGTTTGCTGAACAAACAGCTTGCGACTTCTGAACCTGCCCGTGGGCGTCCTCCAGCTCCCGACTGGGTCTTGCAGTTAGAGTCTCGACTGTGGAGTGAGCTTTGGTGGAGAGCTCTGAGATCACCGACCCTGGGTGTGTTTCACTCATCCTGAGAGTGACCCTGGGGTGGTGTCTCCTGGGGACCGAGGTGGTGGAGACCCTGGGCTGCCGGGAGCACACAGGGGTTTGGGTCCAAAGTCTGCTGGCTCTGGGCTCCACCCCACTCTGAGGCGGGGCAGCACCGCATGCGGAGTGGCACCCTTTGGCACGAATTGATTTCTTGACTCTGTAGCGCGTCCACAAGACCCGAATTCAGAACCTGCAGAGAGAGTGGCGTCCCAGAGCCCTGTGTTATGGTCCCCACCTACTGGCCTCTGAGCCACAGTGTAAAGTCTCACGCACACCAGCACACGGGTTCTGCTCTGAAACCTAGAGCTGCCCTCTGCCCTCCCGCTCCACTCCAGGGTGCCCTGTTCCTGTGTGTGTGTGTGTGTGTGTGTGTGTGTGTGTGTGTGTGTTCCCAGTGTCGTGTGGTGAGAAGGTGCTACAGTGAGGGGCAGGTGGCGTCATGCTGACCGTGTGGCAAGGCTTCGGGAAGCAGACCTGCTGCATTGGAAGCCGGGGCCRTGGTTTTGAGAGACTTGGTGGTGGCCTTCCTGGGTGTGGCCAGTTCTCCTGTCCACCAGGCTCACGTGCGCTGTGTTTCTGCAGCCTGTTGTGGCCACACGACGCTCCGGGCAGGCGGTCCTGACTCCAGGCCCTGCCACAGCGCAGTAGGTGCTCCGCGTACCCTTCCGCCTCGGGAGGCTTCTCTGCCTCTGTTGCTGCMCCTCTCTGAGGTGACACTGTTAGACGTAGGTGTCACCTCTGTCCTGCAGGTGAGAAAGTGAGGTCMGAGGGAGGACACCCAGAGCCTGAGGGCCACAGATTGGCCAGGATCTGACGTCTCCAGTCCTCCTGGGCAGACGGGGCAGAGGTGCAGGGACCTCCTGTCACCTGCCACGCAGGGCTGTGCGCTTCCTCTGGAGGCTGCTGGGGGCAGCTGCGAAGGTCCTCTGGGCACCTCTCCTCCAGGTGCAGTCTGAACAGTGTTCAGAGGAGCGCCCAGCACTTCAGTCCTCCTCACTTGCCATTCCACGCAAGAGAGTCTGGAGTGGGYTTCCTTTCCCTGGCGAGGGTGTCCTTCCCGCAGGAGGAGGTGCCTGAGCGTCCCGCCCCCGGCAGGGCTGGGGAGTGGTGGTGGGAGCCTGGGTCTGGCTCAGTCTCCTCTCTGGAGGTCTCTCCTGGGTCCCGCTGCCTCCGTCTGCTTCTGTCTACTCCAGTGAGGGCAGCTCCGGGCAGTCGTGCCTGGACTGTTGGGTGGGTGGGTCAGGAGTGTGCTTGGCTTGGCGGGGACCCGGCTCTGCCGTTTGTTAGCTGGGTGGACTCTGGCAGATCTCTGAGCCCCAGTTTCCTCACCACAGAGGGGGATTCCTGGCACCACCCCCACCAAGTGGCCGACGGAGGCTGGAACTTGCTGGAGTTTTGTGACCGCCTCGTGGAGGCCCCAGCTCGGCCTCCCCGAGAGATCTCCTTCACCCCCATCTCAGCAGGCCGAGCCTGCTCATCAAACCCTGGAGAGTTCCCAAGTCCTTGCAACTGAAAACAGTTAAGATTCGCAGACACTTTAGTTTTGGCATGATTTTTTTGGTTGTTGTTTTTGCTGATATATGAACTATTTGAGCCAGCAACACAAGCACTGAAAGCATTTCCACAGAGAGCTGACTGCAGAGCTAGACTGCGTGTGCCATCAGTGKGCAGAGAGCTGGGAAGGGCTGGCCATCCTTCCCGGACAGCCCCTCCTGCCCTTCCCGACCAGCAGCATGACCCAGGCACTGGCCTCCAGGAAGCACCTTGGTCCTGGGTCTGAGGCTTCTACCTCCCCACTCCTGGGAGCCAGCTGTGGCTGCCAGCTTCCCTGACTGCCCAGGACAGGAGCCTGTGGCCTGCTGCACACTGCTGGCCTCTCCCGACCTCACCGATGCTGGCCTGGACTGCTCCCATTACTGCAGTGGGTGGCAGTCTCCTTTGTCTTGGGCCATCCTCCTGGCTCTCGATGGCATTTTGAAAGTGTGGGTGGCCTCAGCAGGTTCGTGCAGAGACGTCCTGAGGTCTGTCTTCCCACGTCTCGCCTCCTTCTAGTAGGATGAAGGCAGTGAAGCTCCCATGCCCACTCGAGTGCCCCTGCACGTCGTTGTGTGGGTGGGTTTCTGCATCTCATTCCGTGGCATCCTTGGAACCTGGGGGGCGGGGGGCTTGGGCAGCAACTGGTGTCCAGATTCTGGGGTCCCCCTGCCTTGCTCGGGCACCATCCCCCCCTCCACTAGCTCTGATACCTTGGAGCACAGGAGGTCATCTCTGAGCCTCTGTCTCTTCATCTGTGAATGGGTGCCTGAGCTGCCCACTTCCTGGGTTGGATTTGGCATACATGGATGAGCACCTGCAAAATGCCACTCAGCCTCACATTGAGCTTGGACGTGGGCCTCAGATCCGGGAGTCGCAGTCCGAGGTGGACACACCCAGCTAGGCAAAGCCTGTCAGCTCCTCTGAGCCCAAGTCCCTTCCGACCGTGTACCTCGGAGGCAGGCCGCCTCAGTTCCCCGCGTCACAGCTTCTCACTTCAGACCGCGGCTTCTTGCCTGCAGCCACCACCTACCTGAGCTGCTCCTCCTTTCCCTCTGTCTCCAAGCAGCCTGGACCCCAGCCCCTGGACCCACTCACCAGCCCTGCTGACCACTCTTCTGAGCCGGCACTGGGGAGCACTGGGGTCTGCCTTCTCTAGTGCAGAAAGGGACAGTCACTCTTGGCACCTAGGTGTCCTTCCCAGAGCTGGCTCCTGAAGGGCCTTGCAAGTGACCTGGTGGCTCAGCAATGAACTTTCTGGGGTTCCTTGGGAGAGTGGGGGGTCACTGCATTTTCTTCAGGGAAATGGGCGGGGGCGGGGCGTCCCACCTTCCCATGGGCTCAGGTGGCCATCGCCGCTGCAGGGGTGCTGGGGAGCCGCCTGTCTGGGCTCCTGGGGTCCTGGTGAGCTGAGGCAGGGCAGCAGCCTGTCCTTGGGTCCTGGGGTGGAGGGGGGAACCTGACTCGCTGTCTTTTCTTGCAGAGCCCGCGACCACGATGGTGTCCCCGGCCAGCTCAGAAGCTCAGGTACTGAAAACAGTKTTAAAGACGACTTGATCCTGTGAGGGTGAACCTGCGTTGCGTGATGGACACTCTGACCCTATTAAGTCCTGTAGCTCTTCATCGAGGCAGGACAGCGCAGCACCCAGAGGGCCTCACGGGGCCTGGGAGGAAGCTGTGCACAGAGGACAGGGGGCGAGGGCCCGGCAGGGTGTCAAGGGCTCTGGGGCAGGAGCAAGGGAGGAGTGGCCACTGACCCGAGGGAAGTGGGTGATGGCCTCTGCCTGGTTGGCCTCACAGGCACAATGCTGGGGGCTGGGTGTGAGTTTCAGGAGCAAACAGGAAAACCAGCCAAGGACACAAGCCAAGGAATTCCCACCCAGCCCACATCTCCAACCCTTCCTCCTCCACCCACCTGCCCCGAGATCACGTCCTGGATTTGGTTCTTCTCTGTGTCTTTAGACCACTGCTCTAATATGACACCTGTTTTACAGTGAACACAGTGGCACACTCAGGGGGAGGTGGGCACAGACCAGAAGAGGATATACCATCTGTTGTTGAGAGCCCAGAAACTAGCAGTGTGTCTCACCTCCCATAGTCCCTCACCTTGGAATACTGCCATTCAAGTAGCACATCGCCGAGTTTATTTACCAGCTCTGTWCTTGTCCTACATAGAGATTCCTCARACAWTTGTGTGTTTCCAAGACTCCTYTGCATTGCCCTGTGGTRGYTRGTCATCCMKTYTCATGGYTGCATAATATTTTGGATAGTTTMTTTTTCCCAAGTGCAGTGCTCCTGGGTGGCAGCTGGCCCCTGCTGTGCAGAGTCCCCAAGTAGTCTATTACTTGAAAACTTTCCAAAGTTTTAAAAAGATTTATAAAGAGGAGCTAGGGCCATAGCTCAGTGGTGGAGCGCTTGCCTAGCATGTGTGAGGCACTGGGTTCGATCCTCAGCACCACATGAAAATAAAGGTATTGGGTCCATCTACAACTAAAAATTTATAAATATCCACAACAGCGGTGTATGGGAATAGTCCGTCAGGACTGTCCTTCTCAGAGGCCCCAGGTGCACTTGAGAGCGAGTAGCCTCCGCAGGGGAGCTGCCTAYACCTCGTCTCGACTGGGGCTACTCGGGCGCACGAGGTGCCCACGGGAGCCCTGCAGCTTCTGACCACCCCCAGGCTGCTGAGCCTGTCCAGTGCTGGAATGCCGGCAGGGCTAGAGGTTCTGAGCCTGGCCAAGTGCCCAGACTTTTCCTTATGGGGAACGGGCGTTCTTGACCTCAGAGAGTTCCGATGACTGGAGGCACCTTTCGTTGACGCAGCTGTCAGATCAGACGGGACTGCAGTCGGCACTTCCCCAGTGTGGCACTCGCTCAGGCCAGGGGGAAGGGGGGCTCTCCTCCTGTGCCCTCAGTCTGTCCTCCTGTCCATGGGGTGGGCGGTCTGCCTGAGAAAGACCGTCAGAGCCAGCCTGGAGCTCGAGGCAGACGGAGTAGGCGTGAGATGCCCTTCCCACCTCCTCGCTCATTCTTGGCCCCTACCCAGAGGCCAAGAGGATCACCGGGAATCCGAGGGGACTGTAACTCCTGCCTGCCTCCGTCACCGTGGCACCCAGGAGGGGCCCTGAGGCCCTGCTGGAGCCCCCTGACCCCGGGCTTTGCCTGCCTGGGCCAGGTTCAGGCTGGCACCTGTCAGGTGTGACCCTCTGCTAGAGTTTTGTGGCTGTGGCTGTGGCTCTAGAGTCTCGGGTGTGGCTTGGAGCTGTGTCCCTGATGCTCATCTGCAGAAGGCACAKACATGCTGAGGTGGCCTCCAGGGGGTGACCCAGAAGGTTCCCGGAGAAGGCAGTGGCCTCCTGGTG